ACCAAAGCAGTTTTATTAAAGGGAGGCAAGGAAGCGATAATGTCATTATGGCTCAAGAAGTAATACGTTCTATGAAAACTAAAAAAATCCAAAAATGGTTTAGTGCAACCAAAGTTGACCTGGATAAAGCGTATGACAAACTTGAATGGGACTTTGTCAAGAAATGCTTACAGGAAGTAGGAATAAAAAATAATATTCTTGATCTTGTCAAGAAATAGATGAAGAGTTGAACCATGAGAATTTATAGAATAGTGAACTTATTAAAGAATTCAAGCCATCTAGAGGGATTAGACAAGGTGACTCGATTTCTCCTTATGTATTCACTCTATGTATGGAGAAGCTAAGTCACATAATTGAAGATGAGATTAAAGATATTAACTAGAAGCCTATCAAATTAGTAAAAAGTGGCCCAAATATTTCCCATCTTTTCTTTGCAAATGATCTTTTCCTCTTTGGATAGGCTAATGTAGATCAAATGGAAGTCATCAATGACTATCTTGACAAGGTTTGTAAAGCCTTAGGGCACTTAGTGAATAAAAAAAACACATATGTGTGTCTCCAAGGCTTTCCATTTCTTTAGAGTGTTGAATTTGAGTAAATTTATAGGTATTGGGCTTACTAATGATCTTGGGAAGTACCTTAGAGTCCCTCTCTTACACAAAAGAGCCTCCTATAATTACTTCAAACTTATCTTGAGTAAGGTTCATAAGAAATTGTCCGGCTGGAAAGGCAAACTCTTAACTTTTATGAGTTGATCTATGCTCATTAAATCTATTCTGACAACCCTACTGAACTATCACATGCAAACCATGCTCCTCCTAAAAAAGCTACTGATTGATATTGAAAAAGCTAATAATAATTTCCTTTAGGGTTGCTGTGATGACAAAAAGGAAAATGCACTTAATGTCTTAGGATATAGTGAAGCTAAAAAGAAATCAAGGAGGATTAGGGGTGAAAGACCTTGCTAGCCAAAATCAAGATTTTATCTTTAAGCTTTATTGGAATTTAGTAACCAATAAGGAAGCCTTATGGGTTAGAGTTCTGAAGACCAAGTATAAATGTGAAAATGAAACTCTTCCATCAGTTTGTAAATGAAAACACTCCTCTAAAACCTAGAAGATCATTAACAAAGTTTAGGAGAGCTTTTAAGGAGGGCTTGAAAAGAGACATATCTTTGAAAGAACTTTCAATTTCTAGTATGATAACTGGTCTACCATTAATCAACCATCGATCATAGTTGCTCAAAATCCTACCCTATCGATGGACCTAGATATGGCAATTGAACAATTCATTAATCCAAATGGTGGTTGAGACCAAGCTAAAATGATGAAATGGCTTGATTACTCTATTATTAGTCGAATCACTAGTTCTAGCCCATCTAGTGAGAGGAGAGGGAGAGAAAAATTTATATAGAAGCCATCCATTGATGGCTCTTTTAACATATCTTCTGCTTATTATTTCCTTGCTGCAGGTATATCTCTAGAAAGAATCAAATTTGGACAAAAATTTAGAAATGGAACATACCAGAAAAGATCAAAGCCTTCCTTTGGCTCCTTGGGAAGGATAGACTTCACACAAGAAGTTTGCAGGCCAAAAAGGGAATAGTTGACTCCTCTTTATGCCCACTAAGATGCAGAGCGGAGGAGACTACCATGCATATTATTAGTGATTATAGATTTGCAAAAGAAGTGTGGATGCAGCTGGTTAAACCTGAGCTTTAGTCCAACTTCATCAAATTAGATTTCCTTGAATGGATTAGCTGGAACTCTTCCAATCTATCGAGTCTCAACTCTAACTCAAGCTTGCCTTGGACAATAATTTTTGCCTATATGTGCCGGGATCTTTGGTATACCTATTGCAAGAATCTTTTATCTTTCAGATGTTTATATTTAGCAAGACCTGAAGAAGACCGATTCTAGATGGCTAGGGCTACTCAACAACTCTCATTCAAGGTCACTCTGTGTAAGAAATTGGACCCCTCCCTCTCATGGTGTAGTTAGACTTAATGTTAGTGGATTCTCCCTTAATAGAGTTGCTACTTGTGGTGGTTGCATTATCGATGACAATGGAGGATGGTTGGTAGGGTCTAATTGTAAACTTGAAAACTATCCATCTACCATTGCTGAAGTCTTAGGAATTTATGAAAGCCTTGAACTTTGTTGTTCTAAAGGTTTTAGGCATATGGAAGTCTATTTTCACAGTATTGAAGCTATCAACCTCATTACTAGAGGTTATCCCGAAGGTCACCCTTACCACGATGTTATTTTAAAAAGCTTGTAATCTCCTTTACTGTAATTGGACTATTTTCATTAATTTTATTTTTAGCAATGTCATTAGTCATGCTCATTCTCTTGTTAGGGAAGCTCATTTTTTGGATAGCTCCTTTTGCATCTTTAATCATGCACCACTTGACTTTACATTAGGAGTTAATAATGATTGAGGTTTGCTTTCTCTAGTTTTGTATTAGATGCCTTGTACTGTTTCTTTTCTTGCTTTGAATAAATTCTAGCTTTTGATTTAAAAAAATGACTTTTTACATCAGTTCACAAGGCAATGTTATTCCAGGGATGTAGAAAATCTATTTTTAATCAGTTATAAATAACTAATGTAGAAAGTTATTTAACTTTTTAAAAAATAAATTAATACCTCACTTTTTATATCGATTATAATCACAACCAATGTAGAAGGTTAATTTTCTACATCAATTGTAACCATAATTAATGTAAAAAATGAGTTTTCTACATTGATTATTATTACAACTGATGTAGAAAATTAACTTTTTACATTAGTTACGGTGACAACCGATATAAAATGCAATTTTTTTTATATGTGCATAATATATTTTTTTACACTACCCCATCCCTGTACACAAAATAACCAACCAGATAGTAGAATTCATGTAAAATTTTTATTCAGACGACACAATCCATTTTAATTATCCAAAGCTATCATCTATCTGACATAATTCATTTACAATTTGCAAGAATTAAACTTGTCATAATCAACTAAACACAAGGTATTACAAAACTTTCCTAAAGCCAATAAATTTATTAAAATTGTCTACAAATATCTAAACTTACAAACTCTTTATAAAGGCTACATAAGTTATTCTTTATTGTTTGTCTATTTCTTTATATAATTGATGATTGAATAAGTTCATAAAGTGTTAAACTTACTTACCTTTAGCCCAATCCACATAGGATCCTTGAACTCATATGCATGCTTTCAAGAACAATTGATATATTCTCATTGCCTTATATATAAGTAAAATCATGAAGTTATTCACTAATATATTCATAAATAAAATTAAAATTGATAGTTTTGAACTAGTATAAATTAATAGATTCCAAGAAAACTCTGCTCAACTGGTGATTTTAAGAAAAACACATTTGTCACTACATATATTCATCAGCACCAAAACATACTTGTAATTGATTTGAAGAAGATGAATTTTTCAAGTAATGAAAATGAAAGAAAAACAAAAATAAGACTAGAAAGTATATATATATAATATATATTGTTAAATCTATCAGAATATTTAAAAGTGATATATATTGAAATCATAATCATGATTTTTCTTTAGCCAGCACTATTAAATCTATCTAAGCCCTTAAACTTAATCATCATAATTATTATTACACTTACATATTACTTATTTAACATCTACAACCTCAAACCATCATAAAATTCATTCACTTAGTCTAGGGTTTCATATTTAATCTCCTATTATCATAATTACCACCAAAGCAATCTAAATAACACTTATTTAACCTCAAAATCACCATGAGATTTAGACCTAACGGTTGGGTATTCTCAAAAATAAAAATCCTAACCATAAACTCTACAAAAAAAATAGCTTAAAGAAGATATTAGAGGGTAAGAATAAGATCAAATAAGCTTACCTTACTAATTTAAGGCTTAAAAAGTGCTTGGTTACTAATTTGAGCCTTAAAAAGTGCTTGGAATCAATGCTTCCACTAAACCCATAAGCAATTAGTTGAAGAAAGCAACACGAGTACATATGAAAATGGAAAAGATGAAGAAGTGAGAGGGAGATTTTTGAAGAAATGAGAGCTAGGGTTTCAAGAAGAGAATGATAATAGGTAGGGAGGATCAATATCGTTAAAGACCTATGATTTTGAGCAAGGAAAATCGTGAAGATTGAGGAGAAAGTTATGTTTATAAGTGACAAATCGTGAAAAATGATATATATGTGTGAGAGGAGGAAGATAATGTAGAAATTTAAAAGATATTTTACATTAGTTTTCTAAGAAACCAACTTTCTATATTGGTTATAATTATAATCAATATAGAAAGTTAATAATTTTTTTAAATTTTTTAAATTTTAATCGCTTTTTATCGGTTGCCTAATCCATGTAAAAAGTCTAACAAATAAATTGATATTTATAAATTACCACTCCTTTGACTATCTACATCATTTTTCTATCAATCAATATAAAAAGTCAACTGTAAAAAGCCAAATCTATATTAGTGGGGTGTTTATATTCTTAGCATGCATGTTTGGTATTAGTCCTTTTTTTCCTCCTCATTCTTTAATTTTCATCTGCCTGTAATGTTAGTTGTTATTGTCGTTGACAAAATTAAACAAGTTGATGTGTATTTTTTTTAATTAAATTGAAAAAATTATGATGAGTTTGATATTTTATGAACAAAAAAAAATACTAACCTTTGCCCTTTTACCTTGATTGACGTGTCTTTTTGTTTATTATGATTTTAAAAAATCAATCAATCAATCAATCAACTTTAATATAATTTTAATTCTTTTCTATTATTGGTTGATTTTATTAAAAAAATATTTTGATTGGTCAACGATATTCAATTTATTTTTTATTTTCACCTTCATGGAGCATTAACTTCACAAGAGTATTAATTTCTAGGGAGTTGCAGGCGCATTTTCAAATTTCCAATTCTAATATAAATTCGAGATTTAGGGGCTATTAACTTCATTCATATCCATCACACTTTCCCACGCCCTTCAATTTCTTTAATCGTTAAGAGTTTCAATTTTTCCATAGATCCCTTACTCGACGTCGCTCGACTCCCTTAGTTCCTCTACTCAGTCACGTCCTTCCTTCCTTCCTTCCTTTCCATGACTCATTGTAATTTCAATTTCTCTATAGATCTCTTTAACCACTTTCACCTGGCTCCCGTATCGTGCTTCAATTCCAGGCAAGCTCTGTCATTTCACTTCTTGACCTTCAGGCACTCTGCTTCATTCTGGTTTGTCAAATCATTATTGTTAATGACCATTCTTTGATTATAACATCAAATCAAAGTTCTTGTTTTCAGGAAGTAGTCTAAATTACCTTTTCTACAATTTTCTGAAGTCAAACCGTCATGTTTTTCATAGCAGACGTGAGGATTAAGTTTCATAAGCTTTCCTCATCTCATTGGTTTTTATCTTTTAACTTCTCTTTTAATGGTTCGGAACCCAAAAACTTTGCCTTCTATCGGTGCTCTGTCGGCGATTTCTTCTGCAGTCTCCCAAGGTGATGTGAAACTTTATTCGACTTCTACTATTCTTCTGTTGCTCTTCCTCTACTTTGTTAGTTCATAGTATATGGTTGGTAGTAGTGAAACCTAACTTTTGAATAATTTGTACTTTCTATTTTATAATTGTGAAACCTACCTTTTAGCACTTGCTTTTAAGGTGAGCAAAGCCAATATATTGATGATAACCAGTTCCTTCTAAACCACCCTGGTGCAGTGCCCATCACCACGGCTCAAGTATATGCTGCTGCTTTTATATGTGCCCATTATTCTCGTAAATCCCTGGATGCATATAAAATAAAGTATGTCGCATTATATTCCATTTAACTAACTAATTATGACTTCTTCATGTAGAAACTTGAAGTCACGCTGGGTGCAAATTCATTTTGATAGATTGATATGATTTCCAGTAATTATAATTATAAATAGCTTGAGAGAATTGCAATCACATACTGCCACGAATGGGCTTGATTTTAAGGGGCTTGACCCTGTAGGGGTCCAGAATCAAATTACTAATGATGGGTTACTAGAGAATGTTGAGTCAACTAAGAAAGTTGAGGCTTACGACTGTTCACGTGAGGAGGACATGCAAGACCAAGTGCCTACCATGCCAACGGTGCTACGTAGAAGCAACCGCTCAAGGAGAATCACGAGGAAGTTGAGAAAGGTTAGGGAGGGATAGGAAAGTTATATAAAGAGGCTGACGATTTGTTAGAGTGTGTTCTTTTTGAGTGATTGATTCTTCTTTGTTATCCCACAAGTTTTCTCCCTTCTGTAATTCTCCTCTCTTTCTTCTGTTTTCTCCTCTCTGTGACTGAACTTCTCATAAATAATACCTTGAGCTGGATGATATTCTATTGTTTTTGTTATTTTAATTGCATGAGATGTGACAGAAGGTGCTTTTGTTGAGAGTTAAATCACTGCCATGGTAGAAAATACATGTTTATGCGAGCTAACCAATGACGTGAAGAATTTAGGTAGTGACCTCCAGAGCATACGGGAATGTGTAGAACGATTGGAGAATGCTAACAATGCTGGGATGGAATGCTTGGAGATAGCTTTTGGAGATTTGGCATGACATCTTTCCCTGCAAAAGGATGCGATGGACGTTCTAGCAGACATATTGCTTATAGCTCCCAACCCGAGAATTGAGAAGATAAAAACGCATCTAGAAGTTTTGAAGTGGATGACGGACAATTTGAATCGTAACAATCCGCTAGGCACTGGTTTTGGCAAAAATTCTTTATCAAATCATAACCAAAATTATGGCGCTCCTCAACACCAGGTAAAAATAGATTTTTCGCATTTTGATGGAACTCACCCAGCTTGATATTTCATGCAGAACAATATTTTTCCCTCTATCAAATGACGGACCCACAACATATTATCATGGCTTCGGTGCATATGGAGGGAGCCGCAATGCCATGGTTCCAAATGATGTTAAAGTCAAATCATATAACTACCTGGGCAAGTCTCACCAGAGCAGTGGAGATACAGTTCAAACTAGCCCAATTTGAACACCCTCATTCACAGTTGTTCAAATTTACCCAGACGGATATGCTGGAGGCATATCATCAGCAATTTATGACCCTGGCCAACTGTATAGAAGGAATTTTAGATGAGGCATTACTGGATTGTTTTGTAGGAGGGCTTAAGCCTGAGCTAAGAAGGGAGGTGATTGCTCAAACTCCTTCTGATTTGTTGCAAGCTATTGGCTTTGTGAGATTGTTTAATGACAAGTTGACCTCAATGCCTTTTTCAGATAAAGGGAAAGCGGTGATGACTGAAAGTAGTGGAATGATGCCGTTGAGCGTAAGATTGCTCACTACAGTGCCTGCTTCATCTCACACCAGTCACATTAATTCAATGCCATCAAAGAACTCATCGATGTTGCCATCAGATGTGAGAAAGGATTATCTTATACGTGTGATGAGAAATTCACATCGACTCACAAGTATGCCAATTGTCAATTCATGTGGTTGCAGATTGATGAAGAGTAAGACGTCCCAAAACTACCTCTTCCACCCTAAAAAGACCCACCAAGGGATGTAACGGCCACATGCCATCATATTTCTTTGTAGGCTTATAACGGAACAGGGGGTAATACTACCATTCATTTTTCCAGTCAAATTAATGGAGCCACGGTGCAAGTTTTGCTTGACGATGGCATTTCTGATAGCTTTGTACATCCACGAATAGTACATCATCTCAACCTACCCGTGGAGCCAGTTCATCTAATACGGGTCTTCGTAGGGAATGGGCAAGTTATGAGGGGTATGGGCCTGGTTCGAGTATTACCTATAACCATTAATGGACATATGATCCACATTTTAGCTTGTGTTAGAGACAACAGGGTTAGATGTTGTAATTGGGTCTTCATGGTTGGCTACATTGGGGCCCCATGTAGCAGATTATAGCAATGCTTCAATTAAATTCTTAGACTAGAGAACTTTGTGACTTTGAATGGACTTTCTCAAGTCCCTTGTACAATGGCCCAATTCCATCAATTCCATCATTTATAAGATGCAGGAGCTGTCAACTCTGTATTTTTTCTTCAACTAAGGTCCTCGATACAAAGACACATGTGGAAGTAGATGAAGTCCCACCTGATCTTGAGGCACTTTTAGCAGAATGTCATTCAATTTTTGATAGCCCACATAGCCTTTCCGGTCCCACCACACGAGTGCGATCATAGAATCATTCTTCAACTTAGGACGGGGCCAGTGAAGGTGAGACCATACTGATACCCCTACAGTCAAAAACTAGAGATAGAGAAAATGGTAGGTGAATTATTACAGCATGGTTTGATTCAGACTAGCATAAGTCCGTTCTCTGCACCTATTATACTGGTTAAAATAAAAAGATGGTTCATGGCAAATGTGTGTTGATTATCGAACCCTGAACGAGGTTATTGTGAAAGACTCATTCCCAATGCCCACAGTGGATGAGTTGCTAGATGAGTTAGGCGGTTCGGTGTATTTTTCCAAATTAGATCTTAGAGCTGGCTGCCACCAAGTAAGAATGCACCCAGAAGACAAGGGGAAAACAGCATTTCAAACGCATCAGGGCCTTGATGAATGGCTTGTTATGCCATTTGGTTTTACAAATGCATCTGCAACTTTTCAAGCTTTAATGAATTATGTGTTTAAATCTTATCTGCAAAAATTTGTGCTAATATTCTTTGATGATATATTGATTTATAATAGGTCATGGTCTCAACACTTAGAGCATGTTGAACTAGTGTTACAAGTAATGCTTCAACACAAATTAAATGCTAAAAGGTCCAAGTGCACTTTTGGCAGAACAAAGGTGGAATATCTAGGGCATATCATGTCTGCTCAAGGAGTAGCCATGGATGACTCTGAGGTAGCAGCAGTGCAGCAATGGCCGATTTCCCAAAATATCCCAACTTTGCAGCTTTTTAGGCCTCATTGGTTACTGTCGACGTTTTATATGACAATATGCACGATTGGCGAGCCCGTTGACCAAACTCTTATGGAAAAATGGTTATCAGTGGTCAGACAAGGCTCAGATAGCCTTCGAACAGCTTAAGCATGCTCTCAGTGAGGCTCCAGTACTTGCTTTCCCCAACTTTTCTCAACCCTTTGTGGTTGAAACAGACTCTTCTGGTTGTGCAATAGGAGATATCCTCAGTTAACATGGGCACCCTATTTCATTTTTCTCCAAACAGATATCCGGTCGCATGTAAGCTCAGTCAACATATGTTATAGAATTTTACGCCATCACATAGGCTGTGGCTAAGTTTTGGTACTACCTTTTGGGCACACTTTCACCATTCAAACTGATCAAGAGAGTTTATAACACTTGGATCGTTAGGTGTTGCAGACCCCCGAACAAAAAGCTTATCTTCCAAAACTGATGGGGTATCACTTTACTATTAAGTATCGACCAAGAAAAAACAAACCTTGCTGTTGATGCACTGTCGCGAGTGACATTTATGGCCTTGCATCAACTGTAGTCAACTTTTTTTGATGTCATAGCTGCGGCTTCTCAGCAGTCAGGGCGCTTGCAATAGCTCTCTGCTGACATTATTAGAGAGCCTGACCGCTTAGTTGGTTTTATGGTTCAGGATGGTATTTTATATTATAACAACGGGGTGGTGATGCCTCTTGAGGATACTGAGTTGTTGCAACAAATCTTGTCTGAATTCCACTCATCTATCATTGGTGGTCACGTAGGCTTTTAGCAGACTTTTCGCCGGATACCTGCTACTCTCTATTGGCCTAATATGCAACGTGATGTTAAGTGTTTTGTACGTCAATGCATGACTTGCCAGTGGGCTAAAATAGCTCAAATTCTACCTGTAGGTCTTTTCTGCCCCTTGCCCATACCCAACCAAATCTAGGACTCCATTAGTATGGATTTTATCACTATTCTGCCTCTAGTACGCTAGTACTCTATTATCATGGCGATCACTGATAGGCTATCCAATACGCACATCTCATTCCATTGCGTGCAAATTATACTAGCTAACAGGTGGCCGAAGCTTTCTTAGTGAATGTTGTTCATTTACATGGGATGCCTAGCTCTATTGTCTCCAATAAAGATAAAGTCTTTACTAGCTCTTTTTGGCGCTCGCTTTATCAAATGCAAGATGTTCAATAGCTTACGAGTTTTGCATACTGCCCAAAACTGATAGTCAGTCAGAAGCTCTAAATAGGTGTGTCGAGATGTATCTCCGTTGTTTTGTGAATGATTGCCTACATCGATGGCTCGATCTCCTTCCTTAGGTAGCTTATAGTTATAATATGTCTTTTCATTCGGCCATTGGAATGATTCCTTTTCAAGTTGTATATGGTCGTGAGCCACCCTCGCCCATCACTGGCTACACCTCTTCTGATACACCACTTGATTTGCATGAGCAACTTCGCAAGCGAGATGTCTTGTTGCATCGTCTCAAACAACATATTCATCATGCTCAGGACCGTATGAAGAAATATGCAGATCATTTTTGATGCGATGATATTTTCTCTGCAAGTGATTGGGTCCTTGTTAAGTTACAGCCATCCCGTCAAAACTCAGTCGCTCTCCGACATCATCAGAAACTAGGTATGCGGTACTTTTGTCCTTTCAAAGTAGTGGAATGTATCGGGTCTGTCACTTACCTTTTGGAGCTCCCATCTCATGCTAAGATTCACCCAGTGTTTCATATTTTGCTCCGTAAGCTTTGCCATAGTGAGCCAGATGGATCCTACATGCCTCTTCCCTTATTGACTATACCAGAAGGGCCTATTATTTATCCTACGGAGATTCTTCAGGTTCATCAGGTTTATCGTGGTTTTGCTTAGGTTACATAGGTGTTTGTCTACTGGGATGGGTCACAAGATAACACATGGGAAGATGCGGCGTCTCTTCTTTCAGGATACCCATCTCTTGACCTTGAAGACAAGGTCAATCTTGTAGGAGAGGCCATTGTCAGGAATGGGCCTGATTATAAGGGGCCTGACCCTGTAGAGGTCCAGAATCATGTTACTGATGATGGACTGCTAAAGAATGTTGAGTCAGCTGAGAATGTTGAGGCTCACGACTGTTCACATGAGGAGGACCTACAAGACCAAGTGCCTACCATGCCAACGGTGTTGCGTAGAAGCAACCGCTCAAGGAGAATCACGTGGAAGCTGAGAGAGGCTAGGGAGGGATTGGGAAGTTATATAAAGAGGCCGAGGATCTGTTAGAGTGTGTGCTTTTTGAGTGATGGATTCTCCTCTGTTATTCTGCAAGTTTTCTCCCTTATGTAATTCTCCTATGTTTCTTCTATTTTCTCCTCTCTGTGACTAAACTTCTCATAAATAATACCTTGAGCTAGTTGATATTCTATTGTTTCTGTTATTTTAATTGCACAAGCCGTGACATTTTGATTTTGCAGATTTTCTTACTCAAGTGAATGAGGACCAATATTAATAATAGGTCTAGAAGCTTCGACTTTTTGTGAAGGTGAAGGTTAAATGGCATGCTTTCAAATTGTGAAATTACAACTTGACTTGCGGACTCTCTTGTGCTTTTTAGTTTAGATGTTGGCTTAGCTTGTCTCTAAATAATGTACTCTCATAATTTTTTGTAGAGAGGATGACATTTAAGGTGATCTCAAGGTTGTGATGAATTGTTTTAATGCCACCAAAGTTTTGTTCCATTTGAATTCTGGTCTTCTGGATTACTTTAAGAAGACTTTGAAGCGCAGGCGACTTATGGTGTATCCAGCAGAGCCGCCTTCGTACACGAGAGCTTGTATTTCCCGTCATTTCAGTTCATTGTTATTTCAGATTAAGATTTTCTATCCAGAATGGTAGTCAACATTTCTCGTTAAATTGTTGATGATGGTGTTTTGTCCTCGTTAATTGAATGTTTTATCCCCGTTAATTGAATAATGACAATTCCTAAGGAGTGGTGCAAGAATTATAATGTCCACCATGCTTATAATATAGGTTAAATATTTAATAACAAAAAATATCCTCTTATATATTTTCCATAACCTTATTATATTCTTATAATTAAAATCAAATTTTCCCCTAAATTCTAACCTGATGACTGAAAGTTTTTAAGATTTTTTTTATTTAGTTCCAATAAGATTTGAAGGACGTCAATTTTATGCGAAAAATAAGATTCAAAGTATCTTGAACTTTAAATGAAAATAATTTTAATTGAATAAAACGTTCATCCCCTTACAAGTTAACAGACGCAAAAATTTAATTTCAATAAATGCCATCTTATTGTATATATTTTCCATAACTCTATTAAAATTAGCAATTTATTCATGCCTCCCCCCCCCTTCTTTCAAACACGATAGTTGGACGTTTCATCATTATTCTGTTTGGAATCTGAATCCTTAATTATCCTTCAATACTTAGTAATTAGTCATTAGTCGTGAGTATTATAATTAACCCTTCAATGAGGGGATTTTACAAAAGCCAACCAAACTAAGGTGTTTTAAGATCAATATGATTCAATATGTCGCAAATAAATCAAACTTGGAGTTAGCATTGTAATTGTTACTTACATGAATGAATGTTTAGAAAGTACGAGGCTTTTAGAAAAATATTACACCTGATAATACTAAGGCTTATCAATGTGATTTCAATATGAAAACCTGAAAACGTAAGCCTTAGAATTCAATATGATTTAAACTAAGGCATAGCTTTTCTAAATATTCATTCATGTAAATAAATAACATTTATAACACTAAGCCTTAACATCTGCCAAAACATTACACCTGGTATAACTGAATTATATATTGCCATTAATAATTCCCGAATAATTTGTGATCTTGAAAGAATAGTATATTTTACAATACAAGTTGTGAATCAGTCACAGTTTGTAAAATATGCAGAGACTATAAGCAAATAAAATTAATTAACATCTTTAGACAAAGACAAATGAGAAATAATAATATTTATAGTTATAATTGATCGAATTGCATATTGTACGGGTTAGATTTTATAGCTAGCGCTTCATAAGCAAAAAATGACATTCTTGCTATTTTTATAATGCAATTTGTAGCCGATTTTATGGACTAATTGAATATTGCAGCTTTATCGAACCATTATTAATTGAAACATTTTTCAAAATCATAAATGAATCCTTGGAATGGGTTTAATAAAAATTAAATTAATGACAATCTTTCAATATTCAATTTTTTCCACATCTGTACAACTCTTCAATTTCCTATCATCATTTCCAAACCATCTGTTAGCATTCCATTATAAACTATAAACCATTATTAATGGCCTTTCTAATTAATATTTCAAGTTTTTGCGTGAAGAAATTCATTGGTCAATATGTACATCTCTCTATTATGAACAAAAGGTGGAAAACAATAATCCAAAGCTAAAAATAATTTCCAACCACGATGTCTTCCTAAAATTAGTCTTCTTCCATCCCTTCATTCTTCTAAGTTCCTTTAAGAACCGCCTAAGTGTACACAATGGACGATCACCATGAACATATGTGCGTCATACATGTGAATAATTATCAAGAAATTTGTATGGGGAAAAAAAAAACTTAAGCCAACTTCAGTTATAAAATTCTCAAAATTTGACCTGTCATTTTTCTTCTTTATCTCTCTTGAGACTCTTTCGACGTTGTTACAGCCCTTTGTAATTAGAAAGAATATTTATGAATTCGAATCCTTGAAATTGAGATCTATGAATATATATAATTTATTTAAAATATTTCATTCATTTTTTATTTTTTTAAAATATAAAATCTTCTCTTTTTTAAAAGAGCGTGATTTACGAAGTATGAAAGAGAGGAAATACAATTAAAGTTAAATTTACTAATTTAGAACTCCCCGAAAAAATAAAGAGTCATTCAAAAATTTTAATAGAAATTGAAAAGGAAAAAACTGATCAATAAGGGCAGTTCTAATATTAGTGCAAAACATTTTAAAATTAGCAGAAATTTAATGATATAAAATGCGTCTATATTAATAGCATTGATGATATTTGTTTAAAATTATTTAATTTCAAACTGTGCAGCGCACAGAAAACTATTTAGTTTGATCTAATATCCTGTGTGCTCGTCAATTATTATTATTATTATTATTATTATTATTATTATTATTATTATTATTATACACGCACATATAACATGTAATTTAGCAATTAAGAAATAATTGACTCCATCCCCATCCTCTGCTTCTTTTTCCTCCCTCTTCCTCTGAATCCAAACTCAAAATCACTAAATAGATTTTTCCTTGCTTATATTCTTTTTTATCAGCTTTTGCATAATGAATTGATAATACATTACTTTTACCATTTGATTTTTTAATCCATCTGTTTTTTATTTTTTAGTTCTTAGTTATGTTTTCAAGGAGATTAAATTTTAAGTATGCTTAAATAATTAAACTTTCAAGTCAAGTCAAATTTTAGGTAAGTTCAGGTTTGAATCATAGGAAAAAAAAACTTTATATAAATTTCAGAACATTGGTCAAAAAAAAAAGATTTCATGTGAAAGTTGAAATGATAGATGTAAATTATTAATGAAATAATTATAAATTATTTGATTAATATAACATATTTTTAATAGGGGTATTATTATCTTTTGATCCCAATTTTAAATTACACTCAAATTTTAAGAAACCTAATTATAGTTTTTAAATCTTATAAAATTTATTTATAAATAAATCTACTCCACAAAATCTATACATAATTTTTCCAATCTCGTTAAACTTTAATTGTAACGGTACAACTACGAAAAGAAACAAATACAACCTCATTAAATGCAAAACGAAGGAAACAACCGAATTCTAGATGAAGGGACCAAAGCCTAGTGACCAGCGAAGAAATATAGGGACGGGGGTTTATTTGACAACCCGACCAAAATGAGCACAATCCCTCTAGGCAGTGGATTTGTAAATTTGAATTTAATTTTATATTTTGCATTTTAAATTTCATATTTAAAATTTATATACTTAAAATTTTTTATTTAGATAGTTTAAAAAAATTTAAATAAATAAAAGAAATGAGTTAAGATTTAAAATGAAAATGTAAAATCAAAAATGATAATTTTACCTCTATTTTTTTATCAATGAAAGATGAAAACCAAAGATAAGAAAAATATACAAGAGTTATAGAAAAATTAATAATAAAAATATGAAGAAAATGAGGGGTTTGAAGTGATTAAAATTTTAAAAGATTAAAGTGTAAAGAAAATCAATCAACTATATTATACAAAAGTCATAACAAGCAGTTGATTGGTGGAAAATTCATTCATTTTCATTGATTTATATATTTTGGTTACATTTCAATCCTCCTCTTCAATTGGCGAATTCATTGTAAATGTATATATCCCTCATAATTTATTCCTTCTATATTTTTTAATGTCATTTGTTTGACAATTATAAAAATAAATGCTAATAAATAATTTATTAACATTTATTAGTTAAAAATGTAATTAATATTTTTGAAATCACTGTAACTTATGTTTTGTACATGACTATTTATAACTGATAGTTATAGTTGAAGAAATTCAAATTAGTGTGACTAACAACTGAAAAACCTAATGACAATATTACTATTAAAAATCATTAATTGATAATAATGACATTAAGTTAATATTAATGACATTTGGCCAAAAAATTAATATTAATGACATCAATACTCATTTCCCACTATTTTATTTTGAAAATTTCATTTAATATTCATAAGTTTTCCTTGAATGTAAACAATAACTCTACGGTCAAGATTTATTCTCAGTAAATTTTCTCCCATTCAACCATAGTCTATGATAAAATTCCCTCATTTGCAGTCCTATTTGATTCGTTTATTATTCCTTTTTGAATGTAACTATCGTGATTATGACAAAAAAAGTTTTGGAAAAATTTCCAAGGCAATAATTCCTCATGCGTAGCCTGTGTTTCTCAACTCTAATCAATTATAGTAACAAAAAAAAGTGTAAAAAGTTAGAGGGACCCTTCTCCTATCAATGATAGTGCCGTTAATTTATTTAGGTTACCCTTCTCCTATCAATGATAGTCCCATTCAACCATAGTCTATGATAAAATTCCCTCATTTTCAATCTTATTTGATTCGTTTATTATTCCACATAAATTTCGCTTCATCATTCTTAAAGCAATAATCCCTCATACATAGCCTATTTTTTCCAAGTCTAATTAATTATAACAAAAAAAAACAAAGTATAAAAATGCAAGGGACCCCTCTCCTACTAATAACAGTGCCACTATTTCATTTAGGTTACCCTAATCTTCATCTGTGACATTGCTATGGCTGAAGATCTTTCCTTTGATGAGTATGACTACTTGAGTATCATCAATGATTCTCAAGAAACATAATGTATTGTTGTGAGAGTGTGGAGAAGTGGCATCTGAAACAAAAAAAATCTACCATACGATACTTGGAACATATGTTTCTTGCTTATTGATGAGAAGGTATTCATACATTACAAATTTTTTCACTCTCTTTTTCAATTAAACTAATAATTATCATGATTTCTACTGTTATGTTCAGCAATGATTTCAAAGCCGATCGAACCGGACGGTCGGACTGGTTCGACCATCAGCAGGTCCACATTCTAGCTCGGCTAGAAGGACAAAACTGTTTGAGATGTTGAGCCGGGTTGAGCTGGCCAAAACTGTCAGTTGGGCCGCGAATCGGGTTCAATTTTTAAAAACCGGACGGTTCATTTTTTTCCCCCATATATTTTAAAATTCAGATTTTGACCCTAAAATCATTGCTGAAAAGCAAACCGCAGAGTCACAAACGCAGAGGCACACCGCACAGTTACACACACACTCAGCTCTCAGCTCACAAGGCAGTCACAGTTTCAGATCTCTCATCTCTTTGAGCTACAAAGTTACAATTCGGTGTCGATTTTCTAGGTTCTTGTTCAGACTTTCAGATCAC